TTTCCCCTGTTGCATTCCTCAAATTCATCTTCAGTCTTCTTAAGGTACTGTAGCTCCTTACTGAAATTGTTGTCACTGGAATTACTGCAATTATTCTAAAAAGCTTGTGTATGTTTGGAAACATCGTCTTTTTCACATCTGTTTAATACTTCAATAACATTTCGATGATTTTGTATGTGGAAATTCATTCACTTGTATTCCATAGTCAGTATTCAGTGGTAATGAAGGCGTCATTTTCAAGAAAGTCATTCTCTTGAAATTCGACCAATATAATCAAAATCATTGATGTTTTTTAAGCCAAACAGGAAAAGAAAAATAGAATATTTTTATAAATTAAAAACCTACTCTGAATTTCTATTATGATGGTACCCAAATATGAGAGAAAGAATTTGGACTAATCAACTTGATGTTTGTTCTCAGAATAGTGAGTGGTATCTCGTACTTCTCGCACATCGCTCTTGCTTTACAGTGTCTTAAAACAATCATCGGCATTTTTTCTGGTGTTAAATAATTGATTTTGAAGCACCTGGGCATGTTTTACCATAGGACAAATCCAGAACTTCTTTTTATAGATATCTATTTAATAAAGTGTTGTTGCTAAATATGAATTTGCTTACAAAAAGGAGAACCATAAATTTTACAGTGCAAATGAAGTTGATCAATCCTCTGGCATCATTTGATGCATCACGGTTAGTCTAGTGACTACTTTCATTCAAATCTTCTGCATCCAGAAGTTAACGAAAATTATTTTAGAATCATGCCTCTTCACCCGTCTTGTGAAACATAGTTTCTTTAAAGGCAGTTTTTTTTTTTTTTTATTTTTTTTTTTTTTATTTATTTATTTGGGGGAGAAGTGGTCGATCTTTAATAAAACTTCTTATCTCTTTTGCAGTATGAAGGGATGATATGTCTTTTCAGTTATCTCAAAACAGTTTCTGATGTCTTGGACTGGGCAAGAATCCAAGATTCAAGTAGTGGGACCTATACTGCACATAAAGGCTTTACTTTGATGTTCAGTAAAAGGCAGAGGGACATTTGCTCAATAGTTGCAACATCAGTCAAGACTAAGGAATAATAGTTGCAACATCAGTCAAAAAATCTTTTTTTTTTTTTTTTTTTTTTTTTTTTTTTTTTTTGTTCTCTAATTTGTGTTTCTATCAGAGAATTTCAGATTTCAAATATTTCGTTTTTCATCACAAAACTTGTATATAGAGCATTTTTCTTTGCAGTTCATAGAGGATCTTCCAGGGATTTGTCTCCAGATTAAATGGCAAATCTTAAGATAGCTCTGAAACTTCCTTCATTTTTATAGGGTAAGTTATCTAAATCAATTGGCTCCTGTTTCCTCTGCTTGCATTATGCCAAACTTTTTTTTTTTTCCATACATTATTATGGTTTTTATTATGGGCTTTAGTCTCTCCCAGTTTCTTTTTAGCCTTGTTTTATTTTTGATCCAATAAAACATCCTCAGATTTTTGTTTGTTGTCATATAGTTAAGTTGATGTAACGCAAAAACAAATTTGTGTGATACGCCAAGGCATTAAGGTTATTCAAATACTATCAGGTGCATTTCAATTTTTATATTCTTCTTGCACCAAATAGCCCACAGGCTCTGAAAATGTGCATCCAACATAATGTAGAACAAAAGATCCATAATATTTGTGGTATGCTGCATCTTCTACTTTAGAGTATGCCAGCCAGAGATACTTTCTGAATCATGTATGCTAAAGTATTCTGGGGAACCTTTCACTTGAAGCTGTACTTGATGGGAACTGATAATTTTTGGATGGCTTCTGTGTAAGTTTCAACAAGTCTAAATAATTTCAGCATGTAGCAAGATTATTTTATCAGTAACATGATGTCATTGTCATCGATACTTAAATTATGGGTGCACAACAAACTCTCCTCGTTATTCTCATTAGTATTTGTACTAGACTAATGCAGGAGTTTGAACTAGGTATGCCATTATATGTCACTGAAACACAGCTATCTACTACCAAAAAGAAAATAGTGTGATTACCACCTCATTATTCTCGACTACTTCAGCTTCCACCTTTTTTTTTTTTTTTTTTTTTTTTTTTTTGGCTTGGGGGAAAAAACCAGCAGAGAAGCTTGCTTTCTTTTTTCCTTTTAATCTGGAATAATAATAATATGCTAGTATGTAGGAATTTATATTATCATAAAATGAAAAATTAATGATTGAGGGCACTAGCCACCTTAATAATTTAATAATGTAATAACCTACTCAGATTCTCATAAAATCATCCTGAATTTCATTAAATGTAATTTTCAGTTATATTTTAATATGGAAAAAAAGAAATTTAGCAAAGCATTAATCATTAATGCCAAAGAGTCAAAATTATCAAATATCAAGGCTTATGTAAATCAAGACCCCTTACTCACATGACAGTAAGAATCCCGAAGGATGCCACATTACTTTTGATTACTTAATAAAAGCACAATAAAATGTCTAGCAAAAAAGTGTTTTTCAGCACGCCAACGCTACAAGTATGAGTGGAAAGACTGCAAAAGAAGAAATTTTCGACCCTGTTTTTAAGCCAGTGTAATGAACTTTAGAGAATAGTCAGCAACTCTAGATGACAACCAGGCTGATCCAAGGTACTGCTTCTACATGAGCAGAACAGCAGAAATGTTCTACGCATGTCTCTGGGAGAGAGATTGGAGACTCTGCCAGCAAGCTAAACTGTAGAGAGAGTTTCTGCCAAAGTCGGGTATGACAAATGCTATCATGGGCTTTTTTTTTTTTTTTTTGTCATCTGTGAATGTTTCACCAACATGGAAATTTAATTCATTTCTAAATGTGTGCAAATCAAAATTTGCGACTGTGTGTTTTTGTATTTTGATAGTGATGTAATAAAAGATTGATGAATCACTATTGCGATCTTCCTTTCATATGGTACATCTCACAGGAATTGTTTTGATTTATAAAAAGTGAAGAATTATGAACTTTACATGGATAGATGTGTCCAAAGTATGCCCTAGGAATTAGGTAAAATCATGATTAATATTAAATCTTAAAAGTATTTGGTTTGAATTTTGATAATTTGCAGTCTTGAGTACATTTACATATTAACATGAAATAATGGCAGAACTAGAGAAAAGAAATGCATTGAGAAAAATGCTTTCTAAACTGTTGAATAGAATCAAGGATAGTTTAGCAAAGAAACGTATGGATGAATAACGCAAATTGCGTGAATTGTTATTAGAAAGGAAAAGTAGTTTGAAAGAATTAGATGAGGAAATTCATTCTGTAAATTAGATAGATTATTTTGAAGTCAGTGTAGTTAAGTTCTGAGGAATATCGGGGAAAATGTTTTCAACCTATAACAGGAAATAATCAAGTGTTAGGATAAAATAGCTATTAAAGATCCTGAACAAAACATCGTTAGACTGCAAATAAAGTACATTTAAACTTACAAAACTAGTGTTAGAAAAATATTCAGATGATCCTAAAAAAATTCATGGAATTTTGGAACTATTACAAAAAAACTATAGACAAAAATGAGAATGTATTGGCAGACAAATGTTATGTAATGTAGGAATGAGAAGGGAACTACATATTGATTCATTATATAATGTAATTTCTATGAAGGTTGGTCCACCTCATAATAGGACAAGTGTAAATATGTCTGTAAAACAAAGTAATAAATGTTACAGATTTAAAAAAAAGCCATCTGATACTGTGTTTTACTTGATGGGTCACCTTGTTTTAATGCTGTTCTAATATGGTCTCCTCACTTTAGCTTACTGGCAGAGTTTCCAATCTCTTTCTGCACTTTAGCTCACTGACAAAGCTTCTAGTCTCTCTCCCAGAGACATGGTGTAGAATTCTCTGTTGTTCTGCTTGTGAAGGAGCATTACCTCTGATCAACCTGGTTGCCATACATAGTTATTAAATATTGTCTAGAGGTAATTACAACAAAAAGCAATATTGCCAACTTTTTTTAGGAGGTTAAGAAAGAAAGACATAGTGATTTGAAAAAAAAAAGGGAGGGATTTCTGATTTAGCTTAGACTGCAGCCTTATGGTATCTCCCCCTGGATTTCCCACTGTACATGCCATATATCATCCACAGGTATTGACATTGCATAAAGAGTAAAATTTATTTTCCGTGTGAGTTGGCAAATGGCCAGTTTTGATTCAACCCATTTAACTTTTTTCGTGATCTTTAGTTTATTTTTCAGGTTATGTCTGTGTGCTCAACAAACTGAATGATTTAAAAGCAATAAATGTGTTTCTTAATAATGTAAAATTGAATCTTATTTTTTTAATAATGTATCTAATGTAGTTCTGAATTCATTTAAATATATCTAAATCGTAATGAATTTTTGCAGCATTTATTTAAGTTGATGAAATATAGGCACTTGGTTAACCAGTGCCTTCGGATATACTGCAAATAATTTATTGGTAGCTTTCAACTTTTTTTTTTTTTTTCCAGCAATTACATTTAAAATGGCATCAAACAGCTTGCTAATCACTGCAACCAGTCTTTGCCTTCAAATGAACTTTGATAAGCAAGAAGCCAGTTATTGATAGGCTTTAATGTACTGCTGTTTATTCCTTCAATTTGCAGGTTGCCATATAACTACCATGTTTAAGTATGAATGTCAATTTTAGTATCAAAGGTAATAATGAAATTTAAAGAAAACGAAGGAAACCTTTCTCATTCTTCTGTAAAGCGAAAACATTAATGGGGGGGGAATAAAAATCTCAGCTTTGTCGAAGAATCTAGAACAGCCCACAAGACTGAAAGTCACAATTTTTTCCCCTTCAGTAAATCAGCACGTTAATCAGTGTTCAAGTTGCCATATATTATGTGTTTTGGTACAGAATCATTAATGTTTTTTAATATTTTCTTAATGAGTACATAAATTTATGAATATTTTATGCTAAATTTTCAGAATCTTTCTGCTTTCTTCTAATTTGTTAATTAACTCCCTCTTCTTGTTAATTTTGACTGTTTTTATTTGTGTTTCCAGGTTGATTTTAAGGAAACATGTTTAATTGTAACTGAGCCATATTTCAACTTTCTATCCATGCAAGAAAGTATGACAGAAATTTTATTTGAAGATTATAAATTTCATTCGATTTTAAGGATTAATCGTAAGTAATTTTTCGATATAGGTCTTTTATGTCTGTCATCAGATTTTATGAAATATTTCCCTTTTTTTTTTTTAAAGTACTTCCTATCTGTATTTTTTCGTACTTTTGTATTATCCTGACCACCTTAGTGTAGTTTGGTGAATTTTACTGAAGAAAAAGAACAATTACTTTTGTTGTAAAAAAAATCATATATTACATACATATTCTACATTACAGATAAATATTTATTCCTAAAAACAGACAGTAAACCTTGCTAAAAACTGTTTTTTGTTTTTGTTGTGGTAGAAATTTCGTAATGATCGTTTTGAGAACACAACTTGAATAGATTCGAAGTAGTTGTTTCCTTTAGTAGCCTGGTTTTGACACCTATAAATTTCGATAAATAAAATTCCAGGTGGGTACGGGCTGTACCCCAGTATTTCTTGCTATGCTATTTTGCGCATCCTTCTAAGTTTTGTATATGTACATAGTAATGGGATCAACAAAGTTATATGTTATGTATGATTAACCATTTTGTGCATAATCCAGCTTCTTCTAGTTCTTAAATTGTATATCTGGATTAATACCTCCTCCCTTAACTTAACATTTTCATTTATTCTCTGCATTAATATAGTTGTACTTCTATTAGGAACTGTAACCAAAAAGGTTTCTTTCATGTCCCGGCAGATTCCTCCTAGAATACATTGCAGTGGTAAAACACATACAGTACTCTGTTTTCTCTTCATAAATAGACTTTCATCTGTTTCAACAACTTGATTTTTTACACCAATCATTTTTTGTTCTTCAGACTTGCTATCAAGCGTGCAGATCTCCCTTATGTATGTATTCCATTCTATCACAATCTTTTCAGCCGTTTCTAGTTCGTCCAAGCAAAATTTAATACTTGCTAATTCTTTACTCCAGCAGTATACCAATCTGAGTGCTATAATAAATACCAGATGACTATTCTTGAACCAGTTACTGGTACAAATCCCAACATTTTCGTTACACTTTTCACATTGTATTTCCAAAATACATCATCAAATGCCAATCTGAACATTAGCACCTTTGTGGTAAAGTGCTGTATTCTTGAGAAAATTTCACAGAACTTTTCACTTAATTTTCAGGCAAATCCCGCAACTGCATATTTCAAAATTAAGCTGAAAATCAAAAGTATTTCAGTTTGTCTTTACAACTTTTAATATAGCCAGCACAGCTTGTACAAAAATGTCAATGTTGCTTATTCAAACTTACAGTTATGGATATGCTTACCTGAAGAGTTGTTATGCACATGATTGCCAAAGTTTGACGACGTCTGAAATTTTGGCAATTTGTACCAGGGTGGTTGCGATAATACATAAGTAACTATTTTTTAATCAATCTATGTCTTACCTTCCCATAGTATTTATGGTTGTATTTCATATATCTGTTGCATTAAATATATATTCCATTTGTAAAATATCTGATCTTTAAAAGCATCCATAATGGCCTCTGCACAGTTTGCATAAAAATGTAGGAAAATTACAATAATCCATGAACACCCATAATCAGCTATCATTTTTGGATATAAGCAAATAGAATTTTGATTTATTTGAAAATTCAACATGTTAAATTTAACAATAATTTGTTCTAATATACAAATAAACTTCTTAACAGAAGTGCACTGTATTTATAGCATATATTAATTTAAGAAATTAATTTTATTCATTGTTAAAATTATGTAACAATTTCTAAAAAATTAATTTCTCTTTGGTAAAAAATATATTTACAGGTGCCCCTTGGCGATTTTGGGTGGTGCATGGACACTGAGTTTGTGCAATTCTTTGACTTGTTATTTTGACTACACAAATCCAAAATAACAAGTCAAAGAATTGCACAAACTCGATATCCACGTACACATCGACCTATTTTCACTTTTAAAAAAATCAGAGAATAGCACAAACTAAGCATTGCACAAAGGAAATATCCACTTACTTATATATGAATTTACATTTCTACAGTCAAACAAAATTCCTTAACAGTATTCTGTGGTGATGGCGATAAGGAGCGCGCCTTGCGCCCTCCGATAAGTGTGGCAACCCTAGAGGAGAAGTTTCTTACGAGTAGCAAGCAGAGCGAAACAGGCAGGCTGTCGGGCAGTGTGCGCGAAGGTTCCTAAAAAAGTTAATTTTATTGTGCACTATGTTGTATATTTATATTAATGCAGAACATAATCTGTGATAGGGAATTTGAGATTGTGGTAAACATAACATCATATCAATGGTAACCCGGACTGTGTTAAATCGTATGAACAGTTCAAGCACTTTCGTTTTGACTACAAGCCCATCACTCAAGATCTCCAAACAGAAGTAATGGATTACATCGGTTTTCATCCTCGAATCACAGATGAGTAGCAATTATAGATTATTTTATAATTCTGATTTCTACTTATCATTTAATTTCATTTTCTTTAAATTTTTGCTTTTATTTTTGGCTTAAAAACCTTGCACAATGTCTGATGTTCATGCCGTCCAAATTGCGGTTTATAACCAATCAGACCCATCTTTATGGTTTATTATGTGTGAAAGTACTTTTGCTCTTGCCACCCCCACCTATCCAGAATCCATTACTAAATATAATTATGTAGTTGCTCATTTCCTCCAGATATCGCATCAATAGTACGGGATTTTATGAAACCAGACCCTATTGCTCCATATACAAAGCTCAAAACTGAGTTAATAAATCGTTCAGGAGAATCTTCTCAGCAAGAATTCTCCATTATTATCTGGAGAATAATTAGGTTCTCGAAAACTTCCGATTTGCTTAGAAATGAAGTCGAGCAGAATCTTTAAATGTCCTGATAACTAAGTTAGAATTATTCCTTCCGTTTGCCTTCGCTGTTCAGCTTTTTGGCCGGGTTTCCAATTTATCTGTAGATAAAGTGCAGAAATTGCGAAGAATTTTAGAAGTAAATCCAACCCCAGATTGTGCTTTCTCGCACAGTCGATCAGCTCTTGAGGATAAATTATTTAAACAAATAAACAATAAACAAACGTATGATCGCATTTCTCTTTCGTGGTCGCTCGCAAATCGCGGATCGCAATAAGAAGAAGCAATTCCAAAAGGAGAGATTATTCTTTTGCTGATCTAGACGTTTTGGGAAAAAAAGGTAGAGTGACAAATGTACAAAACCTTGTTCATGGCAGGGAAAAGAACCACAAGAATAGAGGCGACTTTCTTTGCCTCAAGTTTCACGTCGCCTTGTTCGTGCCGTGAACAAACCTTTCATCTGGTCGATCCGGCTCTGACTGTCCTTACTTCCAGCAATAATTCTCAAAACGGAATTCGTCCCAACAAAACTTTTCGCTGTATTCTTCTACTATTCATTTATGGGCAAAAAACACTTTCTTGGATTCAAATTAAGACGACAGTTTACATGGACTTTTCTTGCAAATGTTAGTACACCCTTCTTGGAGCAGATTTCCCATTTTTGAATGGTGCCTGATTCAGAAACAAAAATGTCTCAAATTTAAAAACCATTTTAAACCGTCGGTGCGTGAAAAATGAAGCATTTATCAGTAAAAACTGTATTTAGTGATACACCATATCACAAAATTTTAAAAGAATTCCTTCAGTACTAGATTACCAGATCCTACCACCTGTTAAACATAACACCGTTCATTATCATAACTAAAGGTCCACCTGTGGTTGCAAAACCTCGTCGGTTAGCTCCAGATCGCTTAAAAATAGCAAAACAAGAATTTCAAACTATGATGCAATTGGGGCATTTGAGACCTTCGAGCAGGCATTATGCATCCCCACTTCACATGGTTCCAAAAAAGGGAAGTCTGGAATGGAGACCTGTAGGAGATTATCGAGCATTGAACGCTCAAACAATAAAAGACAAATACCCTATTCCATGTTTAGCCGATTTTACTGCTGCATTGCACGGTACTAAAATTTTTAGTCATGTCGACCTGATTAAGGCATACCATCAATACCAATTAACCCAGCCGAATCCACAAAACCGCCATATGCACACCATTCGGTTTATTCGAAAGTACCGTATGCAATTCGGCTTATGCAATGCATCTGCGACTTTTCAACGTTTTATAGATGAAGTCACGCGGGATTTAGAAGGTGTTTATGCTTTCGTCGATGACTTGCTCATAGCCTCTAAAGATTCTGAGGAAACATTGCAGGCATTTGAAAGCTTTATTTTCCAAACTTCAGGAATATGGACTTTGCATAAATGTTTCAAAATGCACCTTTGGTCAAACATCTATTGATTTCTTAGGTTTTCACCTTAGTGCAAAACGGAATTGAAACCTCATTCCTGACAAAGTCAAATGTATTTTAGATTTTCCTCAACCTACCACTCTCACTCAGCTTCGCCGATTTTTAGGCATGTTTAACTTTTACAGATGTTTCATACCTAAAGCAGCACATATTCTTTCTCTTTAATAAAATTGTTAGAAGGCTATATTAATAAAAAGAAATCTCGTTCTCGTGTTCAGGATTCATCCCCACAATTAAATTGGAACGAGAATGCTGAACAAGCCTTTATTGCTGCCAAAAAATGCCATTGCTCAGGCTACCCTTTTGAGACACCCTATTCCCGGGAGCCCAGCTAAGCATCTGGGTAGATGCCTCAGACGTCGCAATCGGCGGCACACTTATGCAGTTGTCTCAACAAACATGGGAACCTATAGCATTTTTCTCTATGAAACTCAATAAAAGTCAACAGAAATGGTAATCCGCGTACGATAGGGAATTATTTTCAATTTATTCTGCAATTAAGAAATTCCGACACATGTTAGAGGGCAGAAATTTTATAATTTATACGGATCAAAAACCGTTAATATATGCGCTTTTAAACAGAACCCTCATAAATGTTCACCTCGACAATTGCGCCATTTAGATTTTATTTCTCAGTACTCTACTGATATTAGGCATGTGCAAGGTTCAAAAAACGTCGTTGCTGACGCTCTTTCAAGAATCGAAATTGATTCCATAACAAAATCTCCATTTTTGGATTTTAAAAAATTTTCGGAAGCTCAACGGCATGATCCGGAGGTACAAGACCTTCTCAAAAACAACACATCATCTTTGAAACTGGAATTTAAACCGTGCCAATATTCTGATGGTAATATTCTGTGTGACATATCAACAGACATTCCTCGTCCATTTGTTCCGAATTCCTTTCGCAGACTCATCTTTAATCATCTGCATAATCTGTCACATCCAGGAATTGCAGCTACTACGAAGCTTATTTGTTCTCGTTATGTATGGCCCGATATGAAACGTCATATCAAAAATTGGGTGAAATCCTGTGAATCTTGCCAAAAATCGAAAATTACTAGGCATACTAAAGCACCACTGGGCACATTCTCTCTTCCTGATGCACGTTTTTCAGAAATCCATATGGATATCGTCGGACCGTTACCTCCATCAGAAGGCAACGTGTACCTTTTGACTCTAATAGATAGATTCTCCAGATGGCCTGAAGCCATTCCCATCCGGATATGAAAACGGAAACCATTTGCAGAGCCATCTTCAACTGTTGGATATCTCGTTTGGCTGCCCATCAACAGACCAAGGTTCTCAAATGAGATCCGCACTTTTGGCAGAATTCCGCGCATTTTAGGTACGAACAGAATCACAACAAACAGCCTATCATCCAATGTCCAACGGCATTGTTGAACGATTTCATCGACATTAAAATCTTCTCTCAAGGCTCACGAGACCAATAACTGGGACTGAAACACTACAGTTGTTATGCTTGGTATTCGGACAGCCGTAAAGGAGGATCTACAGTCATCTTGTGCTGAACTGGTGTACGGCCAAAACTCTCAAGCTGCCTAGTGATATGATAACGTCATCTAAGATATCTCCGTATGACACACAATTTATCACGAATCTTAGGCATAGAATGCAACAATTGAATCCAATAGCAACATCTGCACATTGCCAAGAAAAATGTTACGTAAGTGCTACCTTAAAGTCGTGTACGCATGTATACTTACGTGTCGATCGAGTAAAGCCACCTCTGTGCCAAACCATATACAGGTCCGAATAAAGTCCTTTCTAGAACAGACAAAACTTTCACAATTGATGTTAACGGTCTGAAATCTACTGTGTCTATAGACCGTGTGAAAAAAACCAGCCTATTTGCTTTCGGACTCTAATTTGCCTGAACTGAAAACAAATAAAGACTTAAAGGACAGTTCAGCAGAATAAATCTGCAAACGAACTCTAAGACACAAACTGTCACCAGATCGGGAAGACATGTTCACTTCCCTAAGAACTTGCTTCTTACGTAACAATTTAAAACATTTCTTTTAAAATTCATATCTTAACATATTTCTTGTTATTTCATGTTTATTATATGTGTCAATACCTTGTTATATATTGAATTTCATTTTGATCTTTTCTAATTTTGTAATCATGTAAAAAAATACCCGACAGTATGGATCCGCTGAGATAATTTCATAACCTATGTCGTTCCTTTGAATAGCCATTAAAGGAACTGGGGGGAAACTCTGTGGTGATGGCGATAAGGAGCGCGCCTTGCGCCCTCCGATAAGTGTGGCAACCCTAGAGGAGAAGTTTTCTTACGAGTAGCGAGCAGAGCGAAAAGGAGGCTGTCGGGCAGTGTGCGCGAAGTTCCTAAATAAAGTTTAATTTTTATTGTGCACTATGTCTTGTTAATATTTATATTAATGCAGTAAGAACATAATCTGTGATATGGAATTTGAGGATTGGTGGTAAAAACATAACAGGAAATTTCCATAATTCAAAACTTCCTAAAATTATCTGAACTAGAATCTGTATACTGGCGTCGCTACACAAATTCACAAAAGTAGAGTAAAAAATATCCTCCAATGTTCGACCATACACATTTCCTTCCTAGAAACAAGACACTTATAATGGCTGCTAAGTAAACCTTTCGTTTGCACACCAGTCAATTAATGTTTTTTCCCTTTCGTTTCAAATCATACAGAAATTCAAATTAATGTTACCATGTTCAGCCATTTTCCGTGTAAAACACAAAATAACCATCTTACTTACTAACCAACACACACACAAGCCCTTACAAATATTTTCCCCGTCATTCAAATCTGCTGCAATCATGCAACCAATTACGTCATGGTAGGGTTTCCATAGCATTCAACTATTCAGGTTACCATAAATGAAACAAACAACTTAGCAATAATCCAAGGGGCACCTTTAAATCTACACTTAACCCTCTCTTTTTGCAGCACATAAATATCCCTCCTTTTTCTTTTGAGTGGATAATCTATTGTTTTAGTATTGAGGTTTTGTAGCTAACATGTGTAAAAAATTTATTTACTGGACTTCATAATTTTCATTTTTATTATTTCCACTTCATAATTGGTTTGCATTCCACGTAATAAATGCAAATTTAATTGCATTGCCTAACAAAATAAAGCCTTAAATATTTCCCTTGCAGAGATTTATATTACACTAAAAATCAAAAGCTTGATAGAGTGGTAAACAAATAGGAAAATTTTTCCTTTAATAAAACAAAATTTAAATTTTGTCACTTATAAGCTGCATGTGTTGTTATTGATCCAACAGTTCGGAATGTAATAGATTCAATTTAGGGAAAATTAGGCTGCCAAAGCTTTTGTAAATAGTGAATTTATTTATTTGTGCAGAATGTAATAGATTCAGTTTAGGGAAAATTATGCTGCCAAGGATTTTGTAAAGAGTGAATTTAGTTATTTATTTACTTATTAGGCCCCCTTGTTTTTTTTAAAGAGTGTAAAAGTAATTTCACAGGTGGATGTACAGTTTTTCTTTTGTTTAAAAATCTTTTACAAGTTTTCTTCTTCAAAAATATTCTGTATTTCTCATTTATTTCTTTTCTTTCCTGCTTTTCGCTTGTTCTGACATTTTCTTGTTTATAAATATATTTAATATGTAATAAGTTTGTGTTTAATACATTATGATTAACTAATCTGTAAAGTATAATTTTGTTAGTTATTTGTGTGCATTACCTATAATCCGCACAGTCTTTGATCCCATCAGGTGCAGATTATAGAATTCTACAGTATTTTGATTATTAGGATAAAATCGAAATACTGCTTAATAGCTAATTTATTTTCAATCATCTGCTGAATTATGGATCCATGTAACTTTTTTCTAATTAAGTTTCAGAAGTGATTGCATAGCAGTTACTCTTCATATTATGGAAATAAGTTTTTTTAATAATTATTTAATAATAACATTAATAACAAAATAATAATTCTAGAGATAAGATTTTAAAGTGTGAAATATTCCTAAAATAATAGTTTTATTAGCTGGAAAAAAAAGATTATAATACTTTTCATATCAAAAGAAGCTTTATGTAAAATGTTTTTAAGTATATATGAATGCATCAAAAAGGTTTTGTGATAGCTGTAATAGCTTAAACTAATTTTAAGTAAATTTTAATAGTTGAGATATGTTTCCTCTCCATATATTCCAGAATTACTTTCATTCATGACTCTTTTTGATCAGAGGAAAATCTTCATGAAACCTTCATTTGAGACTGGACATATTTTTGTTAAAAAAGATATAGAGGGTTTCTTAAAAAATAAATTATATGTGCATAATGAAAAACCTATATTGAACGAAATGTAATGATTGCCTTAAAAAATGTACTGTACCTTAGCTTAGCACCACAGGAAATAGATAATAATTGCCTTCATTAAAATTTTGATTGCTTAATTATTCAAGTAAAATTTTAAAATGTTTCTGCAGTCTTAAATAATGTTTACAGATTGTTTAGTTTAAAAACCTCTGAATATTCTCTGAATTATTCAAAATTGATACCCATTCCTTTTTAAAGATTCATTTTTCCTTTGCCCTTCCATCTTTCTTTTAAAGTATTCCAGTCCCACATTTAATTTTACTGCTATTGGGTATAAATCTTTATCTAAAAATGAAATTATTTGTATGTATCAAAACAGTCTTGCTTTTGAATTTTAGAAACTCATTTCCTACTCATCTTGTTTCATTAATTCCAGTAATGGATAGAAAATTCTATTTATAGCATATATATCTAATGTTATTGTGATTGAAAAATGAAAAATAAAAGAGAATAAAATACATATGATGACATCATTATAATAATGATGAGTAGATTTTTTCCAACAACATTGGCAAAATGTTTAGCCACTTACAGTCAAAACTACATTTTTATTAATCATGGTTTACTTAATTTTTATTGTAAAGCTTTTTAAAATTTTTAAATGAAATGCAAGACCAGATTTGTTATCTTTTTTCAGCTGGAACTCTTTCAGCTCACAAATGCCACAAAGCTGCTCCATCAGAAATGTGTTGTTTGGTTGTCGATTCTGGATTTTCTTTTACTCACATCATTCCTTACATCAAGGGTAAGAAGCTTAGGAATACTACTCGTAGGTGAGTCTCACAGTAAGAAATAACGGCCATGTGATGTGACATAATTTATTATGAATTTTAAAGGTTGGAGCAAAAAAAGCATAATTAAAGTTTCACTTTTGTTATAGTTTCTACAAATTCTTAAACATACATCCTTGATATACACATGCCTTTGATATATGTATTATATTAATTTTAGGAATTCCCAACCTTTTCTTCCATTGACCTGTTTAAAAGAATGATTTTCTTCATTGACTTACATTTTTTTCTACAATATACAGCATACAACAATAATTGCACATAAATAATTAAAAGATAGTAATTAATCTAAGAACATAAGCAAAAATTTTGAAAAGAAAATGGTTTATTAGATTTACATTTATTCTCTCTCTCTCTCTTTCTTCCTTTTTTTTTTTTTTTTTTTTTTTTTTCAAATATAGACAAGTTTACAGAAATAAAGTAGCAATTCTAATTGTGCAAATGTTTGATTTTAATTAATATATTGGCTGCACTTGAGTTCTTTGTGTTATATTTTTTTTTAATTTGACATCAAATTGTTTGCCTTAATTTTTAAATCATCTCATTTAAAAATATTCAACCTGTTTTTGTTTTCTGCAATAAATTATTTACTTGACTAAAGCCTCTTTCTACTAGGTAAGAAAAGAGAAAAGTCAATAATATTATTTGGTAGCAATTTATATTTTAGGATATTTCTGTCGGATGACGTTTAAATTTATATAATATTTCAAAAAAGTGCTGTTGATTTTTAAAATATATTAAATCAATTGTGTATATTTCTTCCCTCACATTTATTTTATATTCGGTCTACTGGAAAGTTCTGTCTGTTTTATGACAACAATTTTCGACATATAAGCACATGTTTATTTGGCGCATGTTCGACTCTTGACGTAGCAAATTAACTAAAGCTTTCACGTTAGTCTTAAGTGTGGAGTGATAGTATACCCACGGCTGCTGATAAAGTTCATTTACGCCACTGTATTTTATACAAATTTCAACAAGGAAGAAATGTTGCAGAAGCATGTAGAAATTTATTGAAAGTATTTAGTGAAGGTACAGTTTCTGATAGAACATAGAGAAGATGGTTCGAAAAATTTTAAACAGGTGATTTCGACTTTTCTGATAAGCCACGCTCTGGACGGCCATCTTTGATTGACAAAAATGTTATTATAGTCATGTTAGGGCAAGATCTTTTTTCTGACAACATCAGAGATCGCAGAAAGGCTTAATTCAGCTCACTAAATGTAAAGACAGCAGTCCAAGAAAAGAGGCTGGCGATGTTCAGTAGGAAGGACATCATACTGCATCATGATAATGCCGTCCACATGCTGTTTTGGGCAGTTACCAAAAAATTGCAGAACTAGGCTGGGAAATTCTGTCACATCCACCATATTCCCTGGACTTAGCAACCTCCGACTATCACTTGCTTTTGTCCTTACAAAATTTTTTAAACGCCAAAAAATTCAAAAATGAAGAAGATATGACACAAGCACTGGCTATTTCGCATCAAAAGTTACATTTTTCAAAAATGGGATACACGAATTGCCCTCGCTCTGGCAAGTCATTAATAATAATGGCAATTATATTATTTAATAAAGTTTATTGACAGTAACAAAAATGTGCATTTTGTTTTCTTCCAAAAATGGGCAGAACTTTCCAGTAGACCGAATATAATTCCTTCCTTATTACATGCTATAACTTCATATTAGTAAATAATTAAATTATCTATTTTACAGTATTGATTTTTTTCAATCGATGGTATTTGTGCTGTCAATTCAGCTATTGACCTTTGATCATCATTGATCCCTCCCTCAGGAGATCAATACCAACCCCATTTGGAATCCCTGTTAAGTGATTGCAGAAATGTGATCTTTTCTAAGCAGTTGCTTCTAAACATGAAATTATTTTAAGTTTTAAAACATCAAGGACAATTGATAATTTTCATTGTGTGAAGGTCTGTAATGGTTAATATATTAGCTTTATTGTCAGCTGTCTTTTATATCTTAAGATAAAGAATACTCTGGTTATAAATTAGTTACTTTGCTTGATATAATGTTAGCAGAAACTGGTACCATGTCATTCAGTTTTGAATCTCAGATAAAGCATGGATGCCTGCGATTGTAGTGTGAATGAGGGCATTTTAAATCAGATTTTTCAAGTCTTCTTAGAATAATGGTAAGGTAAGAAGATTGCTGGATTTTATTCCCTCAAATGTTCTTAAATACGTTTGGAATTGAGATGGTTTATAGCTGTCATGTGGCTTGCTATAATTAAATAACTGAATTCTAGTTCTAGATTTTAAAAAATTCTTTTGTTTGTAGAAAAATAGGGTAATGAAATTGTACTTTTTAGAAATATTAGCATAGTGAGTGTACTTAATATAAAATATTGTTGTGTTCTTAACGGGTTCGTAGATGGACTGATTGATGACAACACTTGACAAAGAATAAAAACACAATTTATTTGCCAGTATAACTAAGGACAACTCCAAAAACATGTTTACCGTCATCGATAAACTAAAACAAACACACTGAAACAATCAGTAACACAGCCATCATGCTGTAACGGTGAAGACAGCTTCACTTCAAAGCTATAGACTACAGCTCCCGACTCGGTTCAGTCGTTCTCAGAACTCGTTTTACTCTAGAGACTCTCCACGCTACAAGACAGCTTCACAGCACACTAGAGTACAAATGGAAGTCAGATGGAGCTAGGTTCAGACTAAAAGGAGGGTAACAGAACTGTTCCTAGTAAAATGAATCAAGCAGTGTCATCATTACACATGCAGTATGCAATTGCACTTTGTCATGCACGAACACAATACAAGAAGTCAGTAGTCCATGCCTTTTATTCTGTATTGAGCCTAACTTCAGTATCTTACTAAGCAGTAATGTTCATTAAATCAACATACTAAGCAGTAATGTTGATTGTTGTGCCTGATTCAATCCATCCACTAACAAAATTCCTTGATAGTCACAGTGCACATGGTTTTTGTTGAAGGAACAAATTACTTTGCTTTCTTTGGTTTCAGGCAACCAGTATGCTACCATTTCATTGACTGTCGTTTCATTTTGGATATCTTGTAATAAATCCATGTTTCAGTGCCTTGTAACAGTCTTTTTCAAAAAATCATTTCCTTTGCAAAAATGCCAAGCCTGCTCCCATGTGTTTCTGTTTTTGAACATCCATTAGCATTTTCGTTACTCACTGCGAGCACATTTTTTTGTAATGAAAATGTTCAATCATAATTATATATAATAAGGATTGCGAAATGGATTGAAAAATCAGAAAATCATGAATCATTTATAGGAATGAACTTTTTTGTTGGTGCAATGCACTAATTCTTTGGTGATCAACAGTGGACATCCACTGTGCTCCTCATCGTGGACATTTTTCTTTCCTTCGTTAAACATCCTAACCCACTTTCCTACCATACCTTCACTCATCACATTCTCTCCATAAGTTACCCTTATCTGGGGATAAATTTCACATGGTTGAACTTTTTTTGCATTCAACAACTTGATAATGAGTCTTATTTCACAGCTACCAGACCCACTGATTATTTTAAATATGATTACTGATAAACGGTGACTTTAGACATTAACATAAGTAAACAAAATGGCTAGGCTAATTTATTCTCATGTTGAACAATGTAACTGCACATGTGCGACTGACATTCATGCTGTCAGATGCGCAGGAAATTTGTGCAAACGATGCTTACTTTCTGGCTCAGCTTAGTATATTTTATGCTCAAGAAAACCCCTAGATCTAGTTCAAATTCTTAGCAGAATTAAGACTATAGTTACAGTAAAAAATCTATCCTTTCATTAGGAAAAGCTGAAAGGAAATTAATGTCATCTCTTCATGCATTTTGTTCATTTGGAGTTAATTATAATTTTCTGGAATTTGTGAAATATTTTGGACCCTGTATAAATAAATATCTACTATTTGCATGGGATTTATTACAACAAAGCATGCAAGAATGTTGTCCTTGTTAGAATTTAAAATATTAAATTTTATATGATGGAATAATTGCAATTTTACCTATTTACCATAAACATTTGAAATATTTTTAATTTGAGCATAAATATGTATCATGTATTTTGTATAAAGAATAACAGAATTGTGCTGTCTTTAAAAGAGTTTTCCAATGCTTTTTGTAATGCTTAATAAAATACTTAATCCTTATTTTTTTTTAATTTGTTCTTCCAGAATTGATATTGGTGGAAAGATATTAACTAATCATTTAAAGGAAATTACGTCTTATCGTCAATTAAATGTGATGGATGAAACATATGTTATGAATCAAGTGAAAGAAGATGTTTGTTATGTGTCTACCGACTTCTGGGCTGATATGAAAAAAGCAAAGTAATTTTTATAGATATACTGAAATGTATATTATTGTAAACAATTATTGAATTGTCACATGTATTTTTTTATAAGTAGCAGATATATTTATTTAAAAGGTAACACTCCATCTTGAAATGTTAAATCATAATTAGTTTAAAGGTTGTTTTAGCAGTAATGTCAAAAGTATAATTCAGATTTATTTAAAATTAAAAAAAAAAAGTTTATTGTGTTAAATATGTCCTAGCTAACATGTAATGAATTTTGAAGAAAATCTTATCAATAATGAATTAATTCATAAGGTATTTCTCCCGCCTTCTTAGCATGCCTTCATAGTGTAGTGGTTCTGCAAGCTGGGCCAGTATTCCAGAGGTCCGTGGTTTGATTCCCGGAAAAAGGGTTTGCTGATTTTTTTCATCTCTCCAGCTTTTCCAATTAACCTAATGTCTCTACAGTGTCGCCCGAACTAAAAGGATGTTGTATAATGATTCTCCGCACCCAGGATTTGACGATTGGGTCCCCTAAACAAACCCCAGTCACCTTTTAAAAGGGGAGTATATAAGGTATTTCTCCCACCTTCTTGGCATGCCTTCAGGGTGTAGTGGTCAGCACACTGGGCCGGTATTTCAGAGGTCCCTGGTCCGATTTCCAGCCAAGGTGTTTGCTAATTTTTCATCTTGCCTGCTTCCGAAAAAATCCTAATGACTCTACAAATTATAGTGTGCCTTGATTCTCAACACTAAATACATTTAATTAAATGTATCAATACAGTATAAAACATTTCCATATTTTAAAAAAGTTCCCCCCCCTCCCCTTGGTCTTAAATTAGCTCATGTAATATATTTTATAAATACAGTTTTTCACTGTGTAAGGTCTTAAAACTGTCTTCAGCTGGCTGGCTATTTGTTAGACTTTTTGCTCTGATTTTGCTTTCAACCGCTAAAACAAATTGCAAAGAACTCAACTTTTATGAATAAATCAATTAATTTTAGCAGTGAAGCCTAAAAAAAGCTCCATTTTATTGAATATTTGATCAGTTCTGTATTCTGTTAAAATGATGAAATGTAAATTTTATATTCAACAAATCATATACACATGGAGCTGTGTTTTTTAACCAATGATATTGGCCATCTGGAAATTTCTAATGGCATATGTGTTAAAGTTGGTGTTGATTTGCACTTAAGGAAGTAAGACTAACACATAATTCACACATTAACAGCATGGAAGTAAAAAAAAAAAAAAAAAAAAGAAAAAGAAAGAGCTTTGTTAGAAAACCTAGCATTTAAAAAGATAGTTAATTAAGACTTTTTTCCCTTCCTTTTCTCTAATGATATAATCATGATAGAGGAACTGTGGAAATTCATTTATGACTTGCCAAATAAAATACCTGTATTTATACACCTTGCATTAATTGCTTATTTTCCTTGAAAGGTTAAGAAGCAAAGAAAATACAATTGTAAGGGACTATGTGCTTCCTGATTATACAGTTATTAGAAGAGGCTATGTTCGACCTTTAGAGGAGACAACTGGCAAACCAAAGGATAATGAACAGGTAAATTATAATTAAAATGTGTATGAGAGGAGAAAGAATTGATTGTGATATTAAATTACCAATTTTGTTAGCATAAATTTAATTGCATGAAAATAAGAGCATTTTATTTATTTTTTGAATGATTAAGCATTAGTAAATCTTTCTTCTAATTGTTTTCATGGAATTTAAAAAAAAAAAAAAATCTGGAAACATTCTTGCATTTCATCTGCAAACATCTGTTGTTGCTACTGAATTTCCTCTGAACTAGTATGGAATTTTAGAATGCATGCCATTTTGTTTAAAATAATAATATTTCTCTCTTTGTTAATTTTGTATTGTTCAGTTAAATGAAGAAATGAACATAAAATAAAATGCTTTATAAATTTTTTCTGTCAGCAGCTAAAAAAGAGAGGCATTTATGAACAGCAACAACTTTCCGTGCCATAATATTGCTTCTGTTAAAAACACTTATTCATTAATCCTTTTTTTCTTTTCAGTTAAATATAAACTTAGTTTAGTTCCTGAACTACCATTTTCCACGTAAATAAAACTTTTTTGTTCATCCCATAAAAAGTTTGTAGTAGCACTAAATTCTGTGAAAAACTGGGGAGGGAAAGGGAAGCTGGTGCTTTAGAAATTAAATCTATTTTTGGATATGTTTTGGACATTAATTTCAAAAATTGTTCTCAGTAGTTTTTGAAGGTACTTTCTGATTATCCAGACCCACCACTCAAAAAGTCCCAATTTGTTGCTGACAATTTTTCACTGAGCTAATACGTTAAAGGCAATAGCGATTTCGAAAATGGTGGTCACTAAATCTTTCATCAAAGGACAACGAATCAGTGAAATTAAAAGAGCAAGAAACATCCATGATTATTATATATATACAGTCAAAAGTCGTTAATCCGGACTCGTCGGGACTTCGGCGATTCCGGATTATCGATTTTTCCGGATTATAGATTATCATTTTAAATCTGGTAAAATGGCATGCAGAAATTATAAAAGTAAAAATATGAAACCGTAATTTACGAAATAAAGAACAGTTATGATCTAAAGGGTATCAAAATTGACAAAAGAAAAGCTTAATATTTAGTGGTTTACTTTATTAAACATTTCTTTCAATGTAAGTTGTTTCAGTTGCTTCATTTTTTATGTGATAATACATTCTCTTTAATTCTATAAACAGACATAATTTCTTGTTCAGTTACAAAGTTCCGCTGTTCAAGTCCTATAATTGCTGTATCGAGAATACCGACTAATTTCTCAACCGAAATTTTTTCGTTTTCAATAACCTATGTCACTTTCTTCGCTATGGGAAGCGAATTATAATGACGAGGCATTTGATTTAAATCATATCAAAGACAGAGTACATTGAGATGAAATACTACATTGAGTAAGCAATTATAAGCCAAATAAAATAAAAACATCTGCCCTTAAGATATGGATAGTGCTGATAAATCAACTTCCAATTCATTGCACGCTGCCCTGGTGTTAAAGATAAACAAAGTTTAGATAAACAAACGTTTAAGTTTAGATAAACAAAGAATATGCCTTTATCCATTTTTTGCAGCAATTCCATTTTTTGTTTAATGGACTCCGAAAGATACTTTCGCTTTGTATATCCTTTACATATTAGTAAATATATATCGGAAATTCTATTTGACATAATCGAAAGTTCAAGCTTACTTTATAAATTGCTCTAACAGTCTGCAAAAAATAATAATCCGGATCCAATTCGAAGATTAAGGAACAACGCAATCTGCAACATTAACTGAAATAGATAATTAGATAATTTTAGCTTAGCTTATCCCATTCGTTATAAATTAAACGCGCATTCGTAAACGTATTTTGCGCACGCGCACACGCAAATTCGCAGTCTTACGCGCATTTCGTCTTAAACTTAGTTAAATATAAACTTAGTTTAGTTCCTGAACTACCATTTTCCACGTAAATAAAACTTTTTTGTTCATCCCATAAAAAGTTTGTAGTAGCACTAAATTCTGTGAAAAACTGGGGAGGGAAAGGGAAGCTGGTGCTTTAGAAATTACGACGCATGCGCAGAAAGTTTGTAGCTTTGAGGTCCGGATTATAGATCATTCCGGATTATGGGAGTCCGAATTAACGACTTTTGACTGTATTTAGTTTTAGAAAACCACTGAGGAATTTTTTTTTTTTTTTTTTTTTTTTTTTTTTTTTTTGAATTAGGCAAAAAAGGAGCTTTACATGTGGCTTTTTTGCCTGATTTTAAATTTTCATTAGAATGTTTTTCTTGTAATTAAGTTAATGTAGTTTTTACTTATCTTGTTTTATTTCTATATGTGTTTTGGCATACTGTCAGTGTGTAACATGATGTGATTTACGTTTGTAGTTAATTCGAATGAATAATGAGAGGTTTATGGTACCAGAAGTTCTGTTTCATCCATCTGATGTAAATATCCAAGAAATGGGAATCTCGGAAGCTATTATACATTGTATTGAAGCTTGTCCAGAAGGTAGGTTATGTTTAAATTTCTAAGATAATTGATTAGTTTTCTGTAAATACACAGGAAGTATTTTGTGCATTTATAAAAATTATTTCTTTTTTATTTTAGCTATTGAGGTTTATGTTTAGTTTGATAAAATTCAAGGTTATTGCACTGATATTACTATCCTATCAACTAGTAAATAATCAGCATCAGTATTTATGTTGAATCATCTCAAACTGAAGTGAGAAATGTTTAAGGTATAGTCATATTCAAGTGTATTAAGGTAAAGGGATACAGCTGTTTTTCAATATATAGGAAGTTTCTGAATGGTTACATGGCAGCAAATTATGTAGAATAACATCTGACATTTATGTGAATCTATAGTGGACAAAGTATCTTCATACATTGCTGGTCTTTAGACAGAGATGGTAACTGGTGGTTGCCAATAGTGTTGACACTAAATCACTTGCTGATTGTTTTTGCAAGACAGACTTTGTTTACAAAGTAACTCCTAGACATATGCAAAGACTTATTCATCGGCTGGAATGAGATCTCACCCTCAGCTCGGTTTTTCACATACGTCATGTGTAAGAAAAGCTATGCAAGGTTCCTACACGGTTAAATTCAAGATGAGGCTTATGCTCAGGAGCCTGACCAAACGTGACTTGCACCTAAGTCTTCGATATACAGAGAGATGGTTTACATCCTACATGCTATGTGACAATTCTGCACCCCGTTTTATTTAACAAATGGATTATTTATTATCATTTTTTAAAATGTGTTGACCCGTTTTTTGGGTTGGGGACATAGAGTGTGCAAAATATTAAAATCAGTCTTGGTCGCATAAAAAAAATTAAAGTGAAGATGAAAGTTACATGAAAACTATGCTTCCTTCATCATTTTATAAAATAATTCATTAGAAATGTTGAATAAGAATTCTTGTTGGAGGATAAATCCTCTAGTGCTTGTTTTTTGGCCAACTGTAATTGTATAACTAGATTTATATGTATTATTCATTCCAAGGCAATTATTAACATTGCTCTTTATATGTGGTATTTCAATAGAGTACTTTGAATCTGATTTTGAAAAAACACTGCTCAAAGCAGAAATATTTAAAGTCGTTTTATTATTGTTAGACCAAAGAGGTTTTGTCCCAATCTATTGTTTTTGTTTTGCGTTCAATCGCTTTGAAAGTCAATTTCATTTTTCAAACTGTTGCCACCAAATATTATCGCCCTGTATTATATTTGAAGAAATTAAATAATGAAAAATCTACATGAGTCTATGTATGTTTCTCGCATTGTGATAAAACAACGGTACCTAGAGCCATGAAATTTTAAATGACATAATCCTACTGCAAATATGTGCATATCACCCAAATTTGAAATTTGAATTTATTTTATTATCAATTTCATATTTTGTATAACGAATTTTTGATTAACAAACTCAAGGGTTTCAAAACGAGCAATGACAACATTGTAGAGAAAAAACATTTTTATCTGCAGCTCATGAGACTGTGTATCGGAAATTCTAAAGATATGCTTAATTTAAAATTATTTTGCAATATTGCTCTTGAACTGAATTTTATGGTTTAAGTGCAAAGAACATGACATTTAATAAATAAAGGTACCACACACAAAATGTTAAAAAAAAGCCCCTTTCGAGGTAATTTAAAATCTGAAACCTTTCAGATTTTTAGTTCAAAGGGGCTTTGTCTCTGAGGGACTATTGTTATTGTTACCTGTCAGCATATTTTTGTGTATCATGCATCTATGCTATAAGCAGCACTAAAGTCTCCAATATCAACTTATTCATATTCTTATATGTCATTCTTATCTAAATTAAAAGTTTATACATCTATAATACAATAAACAGAGTTTACCAAAACCAAATCTAACAAAATCAAGTCAAAAAACTTTTTTAATACTGTACAAAATGTGTATCGATAAAATTTGTGCATGAAAATTAAATAATATAATAAAATAAACTATTACTGTGGAAAGGTGCACATTCACTTCATCCCATTGCTGATGAATACATTCCTGAATTATTTAAATATACAATTTGTTTTTAATTTTTTTCATTTTCTTTTTAATTTGTTAAAATTTTTTCATAATGCAAATCCATATACATTAAATTTTAGATACTTATTAAGTGTAACATGGTCTGGGGCTTGCTAGTTAAGATAAGTTTTATTTTTTTAGTTTTAAAAACTTTATTTTGTCAAATTAAATTTTGGTAACATCTATTACATTATCACAGAAGAATTCTGTTTTTGTATTGCTGCCTGGGTTGTAACCTTTGAGTACTTTGGCCTGTTAATTTTCTTTAAAATTACATACTTGTATAAACTGTAGGCATTGATTTATTTAAACACTTAAATTATATTAACAGAGGAGGTATAATAGGGAAACATAAACATGAATATATGTAACACCTCTAATTAGGGCACCAAAAATTTATAATTAAAGAACTTATTTTTCCCTCTTTTTTTTTTTCAAAACATAAGAACAACTTTGCAAAATCATCACTTTCATATCTAGTTGCAGTTATGTTTTCAAAAAAAGAGGGTAATCATTTGGTGTTGTGAATTTGTATTTAAGGTCTAGGCAGTAGCTTTTCCTCCCCCCTTTGATAGAGGAAAACAGTTTCAAGTTCTAATATTGCAGTTACTCATATATGTATTCCAGCTAGATTATGTTAAACATAACTATTTTATATATTATATGCTATTACTATTTTGTATTTGAGCTTGATAAAATTGTATAAAATTTCAGTTTGGGGAGGGAAGTATTGTATGAAATTTCTGAGTAACGAAGAAAGAAGGGCTCACCAGTGACTGAGCTAAGTTGCTGGCAGTGAGAGTTCAACCTAGGTTCCGTTCCCAACTGCATGAGCGTTCTTGTGATTTTCCCCATGTGTAAATGGATATAAGCTAATTTTCATTAAAAGTCCTTCGCAAATATATCCCTTTCGTTAAGGAATTAGCCCTCACATGCTTTACCATAATCCATTAAACCAACCAACAAAGAAAAATGATTGATCCTATGAACTTTAATTTAATCTCTGAATAATGTACAGCAATATAACAAATATTGGTGTATATTTTATTTCTGCATTAATTTCATGCTTTTAATTTTTACAAGTTTTTGACAGCTCTAACATGTTTACCACCATTTGCAAGAATGCTAGTAGTTGACAATCTGAGTTTACTTGCCAGCTACAAGATAAATGTTATTGATTGCCTTACTTCAACAGTGCTCATAGCGGTCCTTACAAGTGCTTATAAGTCTTTATATTTGAAAATAAAATATAAAAGCCCTTATGGATACTTTTTTTTTTTTTTTTTTTTTTTTTTTAAGAACGCACATCCCCCCCCCGTACCAAAGCTGAAACTGAATAAACAACTTTTCTTCCTTATATGGAACATCAGATGGTGAATCATACTCCCAGAAATAGCGTTCTGCGCCTTTCTTTGCATTAGCATAACCTTTGGTGCACGTGAGTTCAGACAGGTGCATGTTGTTCTGTTGGTCAAAGAATTACGAAAGCGGTCGAAAATTCCACTGCCTTTCATATTCTTTTGCTCCCACCCAATATTACACGCATTTGGATTTCTATCAAGTTTTTAATAATTTACATTCTCATTCCGTGTGGTCAGTTCATATTCACATTTATTATGATCGGTATGCTTATAATATGAGCATATGTATGAATATTTATTATAATATATTTGCAGTAACTGCTGAAGTGATAAACTTCAAAAATGGGTAAGTGTGTTTTAACAGAGATTAGTTTTCTAAGGAATAATATTCGGAATGGTTAAATAAAGTGAAAGTAATCAAATAGTCAATTTTTTTTTCCCCTAATGCATTATACAGTATGGAGGTTGGGTGTTCCCCTCTTTCTCTGCAAAATCTCGAATATTGAAACCGTTACAGTTCACAGCAAAGCAAGCAACGGACTTTTTTTTGGGGGGGGGAGTCGTTTTCCAACCTGGATTACATAGGACTAAAAGTTCTGCGGTCTATCTGCGAAGAATGATTCTATTCCGGAAATGTAATGCAGTCTGTTCAAAGTTAGAATGAAAAACACTGACTGGTCAATGATTGGTAAATCTCTTTATTAATAAATATGAGTACAGCAGAAATATCGCGCTGAGCATGACATGTCCTGCTCAGTGATAAATATGCCAGACGAGCACATGATGGTGAAAACTATATGAAGGAAAGGGACATTTTCCTTTATTTAGTTATTTATTCTCCGAATACTGGCAGTTGTTGATTACGATTGCGTAATATAACGTGCGAAAGAATTAAGGTGCACATGTTGTGCAATAACATTTGCGATATTTCACAGAGATAAAAGAGTTTTACTGTGCTTGCTAAAGCAGATTATTTTTCAGTTCCATTGGGCTATTTTTTATATGATGCACATATCGAAATGTCAAAAGCATTATTTAGCTGAAAAATCTAAAGAAAGGTTACAATCTACCCCTTTTCTCTTTTACCAGTTACACTCGACTATCCGGAATTTTCAGATATTCGGCAATTTCCGAGTATGCCGGTTAGTTAAGCTTTTACTGTTAAAGGATGACTGCATAAAGCAATTTCCCATCTTCTGATTTCAGAAAAGTTCCTCTTTTTTACTTAAATTACTTTGCTTGCAATATTTGTTAAGGGAAATCTGTTATACAATGAAAATTTAGAAAATGTTCAGAATTTTAAGTTATATTATTTAAATATTAATATGAGTGGGAAAATAAATTGTATTTATTTTAGGTGTCAAGCGAATATAATAAATATGGCCTTATTATTATTTATTTTCTCTATTTTGAACTGAAATTTCATCATTAAATCTTGTAATATAACTTAGTTCTGCATAGTTGTTTTTTTTTTTTTTTTTTTTTTTTTTTTTTTTTTTTCCTGTCATTGTAAACTAGTTCTGTAAACTGAACTGTTATTTAAAATTAAAAAAAAAAGAATGTAATTGTTTTCCATGGTTGAGTAATGCTCATTCTCTCTTAATAAATACTGAATATTTCATATTTTAAATTACAAGTCTAATTTTTCCTTTAAGGTTATGCAGTTGTGTATAATGTAATTAGACAGGTTATTGTTTTTTAAACTAAAATGTGGCTACGAACCCTGTTGAATGACTGAGTACGAATATCGCCATAGTAAATATATGCAGTGTTTGGTATGGTATACAGGAAGGAACTAAATAATACACTTGGCATACTGAAATGAATTATTTATTTGTCAAAACTATGTGTTTAGAATGAAATTTTGTGTGTGTGTGTTTTAATTTGGAAAATGTTATAAGTAGACAGCTAAAATTCTTATTCGGTGGCTTATGTAAGTCTAATAAAAAATGATGTATTGAGGAGTCTTGTGGGAATGCACAAAAAGGGTGAGTGTTGCTTATCAAGCTCTGAGTTATCTCATAGAACAAAAATATTATTTTATATGTCAACTACAAATATATTTGTTTGAATTTAGTTACTACTAAAAGTAATCTGTTATATCTACCTTTAAATTTTAAAAAAAATATATTTATTAAAAGGGGGAAAGAAATAGCATAAAAATGCAGATGGGATCTTAACATGTGTGAATGAATGTGCTGAATCAGCTGGGTAGCAAAGGTATTATTTTTTTTTTTTCTGAACTACCAGTGTTCAGGAACTTTATCACTCAGCTGCTGGTGGGCCTGGTATTAATTGCTTAATATTTAAATTATATGTTGGTTATTTCATTTACAGATGTTCAGCCTCATCTTTACAAAAACATTCTTCTTACTGGGGGCAATGCTTGTTTTCCTGGATTTAAAGAAAGAGTGTAAGTTGTGATTTGATATTTGTTGATTTTTAAAATATGTAATTACATAATCTTTTTTAATTTTAAATTGCATAATCTTCATATGCATGTTTGATTAATACCCTGTATGCATGAATATTGAAACATCAGCATGAATTTTTTATATATACAAGGTTATCAAAAAAGTTCTTGATGTTTGTGGTCATCAGAAACAGACAATGCGTAGTACTCAGCTTTAGGTCTTAAAGGTAATTTCCATTAGCATTGTGCACTCTTTGCTAACCTTGCAGCAGCTGTGCAATGCACTAGCATTAGAACTCGGAGGTCTTGGATGCAAAGAAGTCCACAAATGTGTACGACAAGTCAGCCTCATTGTTGAAGAATTTTCTGTGGTGGTGACTATTCAGGGTATAGAGCAGGTCCAAATAGGATGGATAGGCCAATGTCTCTCAGTCAACTTGCTAAATGGTATCCAGGTTCGCCTTGCCACATGTAGTCTCACATTGTTGTAGAGGGCAAAACACCCTTGCAGTTAACCAATGATGGCTTCATCTGCTGAAATTTGTGTTTAATTCATTCTGTTGCTGCCAGTACATGTCCTCATTGATGGAGTGATTTGTTTGTAGTACCACTTGTAATGTACCTCTTGTTGAGGAGTCCAGCAGACGAAAAACATGTTCTTTATGTGCAGATTTGGTCTTGAAGTGTGAGGCATAAGGTCACATGGTGACAACCTATCTCTGGTAGCCTTGGTTGCATCATACTGGATCCACATTTTGTCACTCGTAAGCACTTGACTAAATATGGGTGCACTTGACTAGATATAAACTACCAAGAATAAATTAATAAAATCAGTTTTAAGAAAGAAATGATTAAAAAAGTTATTTAAATTTATGAAATGGGGAATTTTTAAAATGTCATGGCAGATTTCATTGCAAATAATTTTAAATGCTCATCAGTTCTTAAACTCTATAAATTGATAAAATAAAGTCTATAAAAAAGAAAGAAGTAATAGCATTCATAAAGTGGCCAAAGATTTTTATAGTAACCTTAATTTGCTTGTAATCTTTTAAATCAAATAATGTGTGCCCTATAATGATAGCTTTGAACTGTATTTTCAAGTCGATCACATGATGCATAATGAAGAGCAGATAAATTCTCTTCTGCTTAAGGTCCATAACACAACGTAGTTTTAAAAAATGTAGAAAATCACTGAATTATTATTATTATTATTATTATTTTTTTTTTTTTTTATCATTCTTATTTTAGAAGAGGGTGAAAGAGTTTGATTTATAATCTGTGAAAATTTCAAAACTTCATACCTGATATATTTTTAGACATCAAAATTTTATAATAATGAGTATCCAATGGTTTAAAAAATATTAATTAATTTTCGAAAATTCACCAAAAGTGAGAAATTAGTTTAAAATATCAGATAATCATCATTTAAAAGATTTATTCCTGCTCCATCTGATGGTACAAAAAATAAAATTATGAGAGTTTTAGTTTGCTCATTAAATGAAGATATGTGCAAAAAATTATTTCAATATTAATTTAAAAAATTCTAAATCAAATTTTGGAAACATTACTTTACTACAGTTTGTCATTTAAAAAGAGTGTATATGCAAAATTTATTCTTGGTAGCATATCAAGAAATATCTTTATCTATTAAAAGTTTTTAGCCAGTGATAAACACCATGTTAAGTGAGAATAAAGCTTATAGAAAGGTACATTTTCAAATATGTAGAGAGCATTTTTTTATACCTAACCAAGAGAACTTTAAAATACAATTATACTTTCCACTTCATTATTTTTGAAATTATGTTTATCATTAGGCATCAGAGAAAAGCTGTCTGTAATATATCAAGAACATGAACTAAATTTTCAGCATTATTGTAAGACTTTAAAAGGATAAAACGTAATTTTTGTCACCTACTAACCAGACACTGAAAACACTACTCTAAATCATATATCAAACTGATGCTACATCCTATTTTGTTGAAACAATAAATTAATATTTCTTTTAATTTTTTAGTTACAACGATATTAGATCTGAAGCTCATTATCTTTTTGATGTTAAAGTGACATTACCAGAAAAGTAAGTTTTCAATTTTACTGCTTTCTCTTTATTTCCCTTTTTCCGATGTTATTGCATTACATTCATTTTCACTCTTTTTTAGTCCAGTAACATTTGCATGGGAAGGAGGTGCTCTTTTAGCAAAAGATCCTGAATTTCCAAAACTTATTGTAACAAGAAAGCAATTTGAAGAAAATGGGCTTGCTTTTTGTCTTGATAAATTTGATGTTTAGAATTATTAAAAAAATTTCTTTTTTCTTACAAGGAATCTGGATTTTTCATTTTTGTTATTATGTTATAAGGGAGACATACTATGCAGAACTATGAAGCTTGAAGTTGTAAGAGTTAAATGTTGTTAGATGATACAGTAAAACATTTATTAAAACAATAAATAATTAATTATAGGCTAGATTTTTTACCTGATTTGTGTAGCTAATTTGTTCTCAATATATGTAGTTCATGTATTTGAGGAAGTATTTTTTCTTGAGAAATGAACAGTATGTTTTTATGTAAATTAATTGAAGCAATATTTAATTTTCATGTAGAAAGTTCTTACTAACTTGACTAATATCTATAAGTTATTACTTTGAAATCTAAACAATAACAAAAAAAAAATATCATATTTTTAGCTATAGGGATTTGTATATAAAATAGCACAGCAGAAAAGAAAAAATTCTGATTTTAATGTCTCGCCAGAGAGTTTGTTAAGGTTTTTTTATGCTCTTGCTGAGCCCCCAGTTTACCAGTCTGCTCTTGTATTCACTCCTGCTAGCGTAACTTTTTACTTCCTTGTACGAAGTAAAGGAAGTATTGTAAAAGCAAGAAATTTCAGATATCATATTTCAACAAAAATAACTATTTTTACTGCTCTTGATCCCATTTTGAACATTTTTGAATGGTGTTTTTGCATTATATCTATACGTACGGACAGAAAAGGGACTCTTTTTCCCAAAATGGGCAATAATTGTAAAATTATCAACAATTTAAAAGTTGTTTAAGTTCCACTAAGCCTAACATCCCCACCATTTGTTTATATTTGAAGCTTAGCATAGTGAATTAAGTCGATTTTTGCGCAAACTTCAGTGTCATTTTGCTGAGTGGGGCCAAAAGTTTTGTGCGCTGAAAAATCTTTCTACCTAAATTTAAGTAATTTAAACTCTGATTTTAACTGTAAAAAAAATTTTTTAACAGTTTTTAACTCTATTTGATGTTTTAGATTTTTCTGTATTTTACAATTTTTAATGAAGATGTTTTTTAGTTTTTCCTAGCCATGAAATGAGAACTGAATTGATTGCATGAGGTATATTTCTCTAATGAAATTTGGGGGGAATAAGTTTAGATGAAATGCAGCAAAAAAATGTGCATAATTTAATAGGCCTTATAAGGAAGTCGTGATATTCACGTCAGATTTTTTAAATTTTGTTACGAAATGTTGTTTTCTTATATACTTACCACATATACCATTATACCACGTAAAATTCAACAGTAGTATTACAGATTTTTAAAAACAACATATTTTCCTGATGGAGTGTTAAGTGTTGCGATACATTTTTCTTAATATTTTCTCAGTTTAGGATATCAGTATTTATTTTTTCTTAATAAGTTTACCTACACAAACTTGTTCAGGCTTTTTTACTTTATTATTAAGCATTACTTTCTTCACACTTATGTCAGGTAAAAATCAACAGCATCGCAAAGTTTTTAAAAGCAGCATGTATTTAGAATTCTCAGTATAGTGTTAATGTTAAGCCTTGCCATTAATATTTTTTAATCTTAGTTCAATATATCAATGTTCATTTTTCTTAATGAGTTGTCTTGCCTTTTTATTAACTTTTGTTTTTTTAACTGTATGCATTAAACACTTTTTCTGCATTTATGCCACATAAAATTCAACATCACAAAATATTTAAAATGAGCACATCTTTAGAATTCTAGATAGAAGTATTAAGTGTTTACGTTATAATATTTCTGTAAAAATAATATACGGTGATAAAATTTGGTGGCAATGTGATTTTGTGTTGCCATGCATTATTTTTTATAATTGCTATATTATTTCTCTAAAAATAACACACGACAATAACATTTGGTGGCAACATCCTTTCATTTGAAAAGTGATATAAACAAATCCAGTAACGAGATTAATCTATGGTGCTAAAAATAATAATGATTATCATAGCTGTGAACTTTGAAATATAAAAAATCTGGAGTTTCTTGCATGAAAATAGTGAGTTTTTTGGTTTTCAGGTTTATGTAGTGAAGGCATTTTTAAAGGAACTCTAAACTGACTTAATTTCACTTTATGATGCATGATTCAAGAGATATTCTAAATTTTGTGTTTTGGGCTAGGTTTCATTTCATAATTTTCTTAAATTTTTATATTGTGGAAATCCTGAGTAGAGAAGTAAAGCTTTTGTTTACCAAAGTATCTTTCAATATGATGAAAATGAAATTAGTAACCAGTGTGCATACTATTGTGAGATAAACATAGATATGCACCATATATTAATGTAAAACAAAATTAAATACAAACATTAACTCTTTAAACATGGGTTGAAGCTTTAGATTAGCCAACTTAGATTTAGACAACTCAGATTGAATAAAATTTAATAAAAAAATAATTATGCTGAAAATTGCTAGGAGTGGGGAATAGAATCTGCACAATTTAAGTTTCGTTATTTCAATAAACAACTGAATGTTTCATTTTTACTGGGAAACATTTATTTTAGTAAAGGCTAAAATTTAAAAGTATTGGGAGATTCTTTATTTTACCAGGAGATGTGATGAAAAATCATGAGTTGGCAGCTATGAATTATTTTATAAAAATACAGATAAGAATTAATGATTGTTAAAAGGGAGAATTGCAGAATTATGCCAATTTTAAAAGTTTTTTCATATTGTCATTTGAGAATTATTTTTAATAAATTTTTTGAAAGTTGGTATCAGTAAAGAAACTTTTAAGATTCAGATAGTTCACATTACTTATGTACCAGATTGTAAAGAATATCTGCATGATGTAACCTTTAAAAGGTTTGATTTTTCAAAACTAAGTTCCATTCCTATGCTAAAACCATTATGTGTGTAAAATTATTAATTTGTTAATTAACTTCATATTTTACTGTTGCCCACTTTGTCTCACTGCCCCCCCCCAAATGACAACATTGCCTTATTAATTTGGATAGAAGTTAATAAAGTGTAAATTAATTATGCCAGTTTTATTCCTTGAGAAAACAAATGATATCAGTCCTGTGAGGAATAAAAAATGAAATCTAAGAAATAATATATTGCCTGTTGTTTTACATTTCAGTTCTTGTAGTTAAAGAGTACAGAAGACAAGATTTGCTTGGTGTCATAGTTTGTTGAAGTGTAAAACTTTTGTTTTCATGAAATCTTTCTAAATTTAAATCACATAATTTATTCAAAACATGTAAGATGCCAAGTGAATAATGCTAATACGCTGGTTATCATAAATTAAGGAAAAATCACGATTACTGAAAAAATTACGTGTAGAATTTAATGAAACTTACCCACAATATACAACACATAGTAAAGTATCATATAACATAAAAAGATATTACCAGACAAATATGGTAGTATAGAAATTAACACATGTATAAAATGAACAAATCGAAGGTGTCAGTTTGCTATGAGAAAAGTACCTTCAATATGGAATATGATTGCCTCTAGAAGGAATACAGCAATGTGTGATACTTTCAATTATGTGGTCTTATCAGTTCCATAGGAATCAGCCATTGCTCTTGCAAAGCAGTTGCAAGCGTGACAAGGGGTCTGAGGGAGCAGATTGAGAGCAGCTAGACGTCTTCCTAAAGCATCCCAAACGTGCTCGATAGGATTCAAGTCCGGGAATCAAGCTGGCCACTCGATGTGCATAATTGTTTCCTGTAGAAGATAATCATCTACGATCTGAGCCCTGTGTGGTCTTGTGTTGTCATCCTGTAACAAGAAAGCATCACCTATAGCCCGGGCATATGGGCGCACATAAACATCAAGGATGTCATCTTTATAAACCTGAGCATTCACGGTTCCCCTTGGAAAGACATGGAGGTCTGTGCGTCCACCCAAAGAGATGCCACCCCAAACACAGACACTGCCCCTGCCATATGCATTTCTATCATGGATGTTTGACAGATGATAACGGGTTCTAGGTTCTCTCCATATCAAATAACGCATACTATCACTTTCTAGACTAAACCTGGACTCATCCATAAAGAGAACCGCCTCCATTGATCAGCTGTCCCGTGGACATGTTGTCGTGCCTGCTGAAAACAGTCCCTCCTATGGCGTGACGTGAGTGGCACACAAATGCCTGTTTGCCTCGCATACAGACCACCTTCGTGAAGCCTTCTACGCACAGTTGACGTTGACACGAACCTTCCGATGGCTGCAGCAAGAGAGGATCTAAGAAGAGTCGGAGTAGCGGTGCTATTCCTGCTTGCACATAATGTCAAATATCGGTCATCGGCACTCGTCCTAGCAGTTGGCCATCCTTGGCTGAATCTCCTAGATGCCGAATCTGTGGTTTGAAATTGTCTCCAAAGTCTATGAACCACAGAAGGACTCACATTTAGCCATCTGGCCACTTCTGTTTGACTTTGTCCTGCCTCTAGTCTCCAAATGGCTCTCCATTGCAGTTCTGCAGGCAAATGATGCCTGGAGGTCATTGTTATACGAATTGACTATTTCATTTCTGATGTCACCGTCACAGTGAAATATGTGGGCTTGTTCTCAAACGTGGACTTTTATGCTCCTCGCAGATGACGTATTCCGAAAGCAACGCCACTAATTTGCATATCACAGTTTTAGTCAGCTACTCTTCCCTATTTTTGTGATTTTTGCTGAATTTATGATAACCAGTATAGTTATTTGCATTGGATTTTAAAGTAATTATATCAATTCATAGTTAAGAAATCAGTTTTCTTTCATCTTTTATTATTATTAAAATTCAATAAGAAAATTTTGTTATGGTTAAAAAAACTATTACTTGTTTCAGCATTATTGTGGTGGTTTGACTTATAATACTAAAGTATTTGCTTTAATGCGTTATTAGTGATTTATGATATCTTATTGAAAACACCAAGGTGAAAATATAATAAATTAATCATTTTGAAGGTATTCTATGATAAATTAACAGAATAATTGCTTCAATGAAATATTTTTGGCTAATATTTAAGTAGGTTATTTATTCCATTTAGCTTTGTTTAATCAAGAAGTAATAACCAAAAGGTTTCTTAAAGATACCCCAAGGATCTTGAAAATAAATGTGTTTACATTTAACTCCTTTGTACTTTTTCAGTACTGTGTGTTTATTCCATTCAACCATTTAAAAAAAAAAAAAAAAAGTGTATGCACAGACTTCTGAAATTATACATTAGAAACAGAAACTTTAAAAAAATATTTTATTAAAATATTTTGCATATGTACAATATTTACAGTGATAATATAAATATTTCAGAAAGACATAGTATGTGAGTAATACATCATTTATTCAACAAAAGACAGTTTCTGAATTTGTAAACTAATGTGCAGTTTACAAAGTGCTTTAAAAATAATATAACATTAAAAATTATAATAGTACCAAATATACTGTAAAATTTTATCTTAAAAATTACTAGATTGTTTTTCTTTTCCTCTCTAAGCATTGTAAGTATAAAAATGTGCATTTTATAGGCAATAAGTACATGGTACTGAGCAAAATCTCTTTATATATTTTTTTTTAAAGTACAGAAATTTTTTGTTTATTTATTTTATATTTGGCTGTTTAAGTTTATCAGAACTTAAAAGAGTAAACAGATATTTTCAAATGCAAAACAAAGGATGAAACTCTTCATTAATATAATAAATAAATGAAATGATGATAAAAATGAACAAAAGACTAGAAACATTTGTAATAAAATATAAAGATAAAATTGTCTTGCAACACAAATATTTAAATGACTGTGACTATACTTTGCAAATCTCAAATAAATAAACATTTTCATTACTTATTTCTATAATACTGACCAACAACAAAAATTAGAGATCAACTTGTATGAAATGCAGAATAAAATTCATTTATTATGCACAAATATATTTCATAACATTCTAACAATTTAACAAGTATATCTTTGATATACTTTATAATAAATATTTTATTTTTCAGAACTCCAGCAAAATATAGATACTTACATAAAAGTTTGCATTCAACCAACAGTCGAACTTGATTATAGTATCTTTGAGGGGGGGAAGTTCATAATAATGGTAATTAAATACTAATATTTTAACCCCTTAATATTAAATTCTAAAAAAAATTATGTAGTTATTTATTTTTTTAATTTTACATAGGCTGTAGGCTCACTACATACATATATTTCTTGCTATAAATATAAATAAGATATTAAAAATAATTTACTATTAAAAGCTTTGTTTTTAAAATGACCCAAGCAAAAAAAAGGGGGGAATGGAGTTAATAGCGTAATGTCACATGGTTAGGTAAACTTCAGGTGCAAATGATAAATACTATATATATATTCTTCTAATTAATCTGTTAAAACTGATTTGTTTCAGATTCATATTTTAGCATTAAGAAAGCTTGTAATCAAGTTCGACTGCATACAGTATCGGTTATGTATTCATAAAATCTCTTTTTAAGATTTTCATGTTCTTTGATACTAGAATATAAAAGCAATAAACAGTTCTAAAACGACAAATTTAGAATTTTACATCTTGCATATCTGGTGGAGCTTCTGGTTGGATTTGGCAACCATTTACAGTAAGTGAGCAACTCAGTTTATTACTGAGTGAAGTTGTTGTTGATGCTGTAGTCATTACCTGATGCAATTGCGCAATGTTTAAAGCAATCAGATCTTCGACATCAGACATGCATATCTGAAGGTATTTCTGTAATAAAAATAATATTTAAGTAATGTACATCTTAATTATAAAATTTAACAATAGTGTTATATTTCATTCATGTTGTTGTTCACCTTTTTTTCCATACATTATTTTAGCATGGAATTATACTAAATTTAGAATAAATTTTAAAATTTGTTATGTAAAACTTAATATTTAAGAATACTACAGACAAGACTGTGAAAATTGGAAATTTGTAAAAGCAGATTCATCCTATTTCTTTCTAAAAGTCAATACAGTATTAAGGATTATGTAACTGTGTATTTTAGGGATGAGTCTCTTGAATTTTTCCAACGTTTTTAATCATCATTTTAAATCTAATTTTACTTGAACTGCTTAAAAAGTTTTCTGGAAAATTTTTAACTTTTATTCAAATAGTTTTTGTCAAATTTTATTGAAAAAATGAACCTCAAATTTCAAGACTTTTATTACGTACTTCGTTAACTAAATATTATATGTATCATCTTGATAAATAGTTTTTTCACCCATTAACTGTTTGCTTTTTTATCAAATAGAGATTTCAAATTTTGCTTTAAATAAAACTTTTAATGTTAAGTCCCCCCTTTTTGTTTTCCTTAATTCTTGTATGAAAGATTTTGATAAACTTTATCTACATAAATACTATTGAATTCTGATCGGAACGAAGCTTTATTTTTAAGGAGTCTCTGGTCAGTGGAGGAGTGTCTAGTCTCCTATTTTGAAAGTTCATATATTCTCAGACTGCCCATTAGATGTTCATTAATTGAGATGAAATTGATATATATAAATGCATTTCAGAAAATTATAGTCATATTGCTGGATGCAATTCTCTGTTATAGTAAAAAATATATATGTTATACAAATAGAGTGCTGTTATTTAAACTATTTTAGTTTTTTTTTTTTTTTTTTTTTTTTTTTTTTTTTTTTTTTTTTAATTTTGGACGTTTAAGTGGTTGTATGCTTTTTAAGTAAATTTTAAAACATCATTAAGAAATAAATGGATTAGTTTTCAAAATTAGAGTAATTACCATTCTATTTATATGTACTAAAATGTAATAATTTCAATACCCAATAATAGTATTTTCTGTAAAAATGGCTACATTTTAGATTTCTAATTAAAGACAGTTAATTGTAATGTAAAACAGCAAAGCAGACTGATAGTGATATTTATTTTATTTTATTTTTTTTTATTTTTTTTTTTTTTTTTTTTTTTTTTTTTTTTTTTGTATGTGTGTGTTGAAACATTCTACTTTTTTTGAAATACCAAAACAGATAATTTTTTTTTTTTTTTAATACTTACAAGATTTATATCTGTTAGTTGTGTTAAGTGCTCTTGTAATCCAAGTAGTGAGCCCCAAGGTTTCTGTAGCCAAGTGATGCCATTTATAGCAACTGCAATACATGCTGTGGCAAGTAGTGATGCAGAATATGATGTAAATTTGTACTCTATAAAATAAATATAATCAAATTACATTTCATTCAGATAGAGTAAGTTATTCAAAGAAAAACTTTTTTTTTCCTAATTATCAAGGTTTTATTCGTGTTCAAATAAATATAATACATGTACCAGAACTTAAAAACTATGTTCTCTTTTATTAATCTGTACAATCGAAATTAAGAAAAAGAAAAAAGCAACTTTATTAGACACTTTGTTTTTGTTAAATCATGTGATGATGTAATACATAGAAAGAAGATTTTTTTAAATTGCCGATCTGATTGATTTTGCAATTTAGTAAAAAGAAAATTTTAAATCCTGCGTGTCAAAACAGCTTAATTAATTCCTGGTTTACTATTCTGACCATCTTGAACTATGCAATTATTATGTTGTTATTGATATTTCTTTTTCTCCTGCATCGTGCCATTACTTGTAGAAAATATAGCTGACGGAAAGTTTGGTGCAGCTTCATAATAAACTGAATTACTAAAATATAGTTAATTTTATTATTATTTTATTTAGCTTTAGAATATTGATAAAATCACGATTTATACTGGTTAAAAAAAAATGTTTACAAAAAACCAGGAAACCCTGTCCCTTTAAACTTTCGCTATTTAATTCTTGTACAAGAGCGCCATCTAGGAGCATATATCGCAAAATCGAAAATGACAATAGTGTTAGACCTCACAAAAGCTCTGATGTCATCTGTACTTCCTTTGAAAACATATGGTAGCTAAAAGAGTAGGGCTAGGTGAAGGAGGGGCCCTCTCAGCCAATCCCAAGCAGAGACACTTTCAAAAAGCCTCCGTCAACTTCCTGTGGACCCGCCAAAAGTAACAAAGACCTTCGAGCCCGCCAACACCTGCTCCCGCGCATGGTTGCTAGATTGAAATGAATTTTTTTTTAATATCCTTTTGCCCACTTCGCCATCATTTTATCGCCAAATGTGTTTTACAAAAAATTAAGATAAATGTGTAAAAATATGTTAAAATTTTGTAGTTTTGAAATCGAAAGCTGAACTATAAAAGAATGCACATAGAATTTTTTGGGAGAAGAAGGATAATTTTCTTTCTAAATTTTTCTAGAATTCAGCCGTTTAATATTCTATTCAAATCTGTGGAGGATGCTTTTTTTTTTTTTTTTTTTTTAAATATTTTCTGTTTTAACCAGCAAAACTTTATCGTTATTTTACTTTTCAAGAACTATTTAACACGATTTTTGCACCAAATATGGTCTAGAAATAGTCTTAATTCGTAGAACCTGGATTGACAGTTGTTGCGCATTATGAAGTAATCGCCAAAAGTGAGCTAAATTCTGACAGAGAAACGTCCCTTTAAATCGTCTGCTCACGTGCAAAACTGGAAGTCGATTTAAAGGGACGCGAAGTTTCCTGTTTTACGATGACGCACTCTCCAATCCAATGGCTGCATTTTCAGATTCAAAAGCAGCTGGTTGCCTTGCAAGTTGCGGCATGTGTTTCTGATTTTATGACATAACTACACACTAGAAAAATTTAAACCTGTATTCATTTATGAGAGAATTGCTTATTTTATTGTTCTTGATTGCGCGTTTATCATTTCTTTCTTTTAATGTTTATGTTACAGAATATTAATATAACACTTTGCAAAAAGTATATTTTTTATTAAATAAATATTGTAAACAGGTAGTTTTGTTTTTTTCCCTTCTTTCTTTTTTAACTTCCTATCTAGATTTAAATACTACCTTATGCTTTTGCAAATTCCTGAAAGATTAGTTAATTAAAAACTTGGGAAATCGTTAAACATTGAACTGTTACTAAATAGTAGCATGAAAATTATAGGTTGATATAGGGAAATCCCGTTTTAAGGTGAAATGTTATTTTTTTCCCCCATACAACCGTTGGTGTTTTTGTGTAATAAAATTGCACATACAGACATTTGTCGGTATGCATACGTTTAAGTTTTTTTTTTTTTTTTTCATGCCGTAGATCAGAACATAAATTTTTATATTACTAGGTCACTTTTAAGGATATTTCATCATCCATTAAGGCGTAATTATTCTAAATTAACTTAATTCATTTTTTTCACTGATGTTTCATCTCTAGTCCACTAGGTTTATAATATCTCCCAAAAAAAGAAATGGTAAAAATTTCTGTTTCGCGAGAACATAAAATTTGTGTAGTGAAAATAATACAATATATTCGAAGTATCAGTTTCACAGCTACAGAAAGAAAATTTTTAGTCTTTTATAAAAACACCAGGTTTACGCCCGCATTAGAATTTACTTATGCATTTCAATTGAAAATCAAACTCACTTTTATAAAGCGCTTTAAATCGAAATGCTTTTGTATTTCTTTGAAATTTGCAAGTTAAGACAAATGAGAATCATAGATATCCCTACTGCGAATTTGTATAGTTTTGACGTGAAATTAATACTGCATTCGAAAATTATCAGTATATTTGCTCAAAAATAAAATACTAATCTTGTATCTCTCTCTCTATATGTATTTTTTAATCGTTACCATTACATTGCGCGACCTGGTAAGTTGTCATTCTATGAGGCACAAAGTCTTATTTATTATCTACAAGGCCTAGCAAACAGCCAATTTTGAGATGTGATGTTATTCGATGTTCAACAATACATTGTTTAAAGAAGCGATTTTAAAACAGTCTCTCTATGTATAAAGAAGAATGTCTGTCTGTGTGTTTGTTCGCGATTAACTCAGTCAGTACTATAGCTATCGGTACCAAACTTTCCACAATTCTTTTCTGGGTTCTGGAAAAGGTCAGCGTCCACTTTTTTTTTAAAGCTAAAATCAGAGATATTAATTAAAAATTCACAACCCCCTCATTTTTCCGAGTAGCAACAGTCTCGCACGCTGGAGTTAAAAATCTACTTTATTTCGAGAAATGTTGCGGCTGCTCTCTTTCAAATCATAATGTTTGTTAATAAAAAATTTCTAAGTTTTACAATGGAATAAAAATAGCATTGCCAATGACAAGAGTCTCGCGCTTTGGAGATAAAAAATGCTTTATTTTGAAAAGTGTTGCTACTGCTCGCTTTAAAATCGTAGAGTTTGTTAATCAAAAAATTTGGATGATTTATAAAAACCATATATTTATAAAGAAGAATGCCTGTTTGTGTGTTTGTTCACGTTATTTGATAATTTTTTGCCATATTTAATCGACTAAAATTGAATACAGGTGAAATATTGGGTGGAGCTTGAGCACTTAGGATCATTTGATTAGAAAGACGAAAATCATTAAAAACTGCGTGCCATTGCTGCTGATATAATGAAAGAGAATTGGTTTATTTTTCTATCTAATTTTTTTGTGTTGATTCCATATCGCATCAGACTGAAAAATGTATGACTATGATTCTTATTTTTTGCATCGTTATTAGAGAAGGATTACAGCGGTATCGTTCTCTCTTTTGTTAGATAATCTCTCAATCTAACTTAACTGATATGGGATACTTCCGCAAGTGTATAATATTTCTTAAGAAATATCTTTATTTTTAATATCTTTAAAAGATATAATTTAAAACCCATGTAACTCGCATAATTTATAATGCATCTATCATCATAGGAACTTATATCGTAACTCTTGTGCTAGTTTGATATTCAAACGAATCACGATTATCATTAACTCAGAGTTAATGTGCACTGATGCTATCGAGTTAAAAAAATGTATATATACAGCCATTAAAAAATTGCTCTTAATCTACCCGAACGTATAAACTGTTTCTTTAAGTAAAATGTCTATAAAAAAATCTTGTTTCGTCTTGAATTTTCAAGCTCTTTGCGAAGACAACTTCTTCCTGTTGCGTGCATCTGTAAACAACTTTGCTGATTTAATTTCAGCTGCTATTTTGTTTGTAATAACAGGAGCATCGCTGTCGTCTTCCTGCATTGGAATGGTCATTAAGAACCCAGCTGCTTCAAACTCAATCGGGTTCTTTTCATCCCGTTATGGCAGGGAAGCGCAAAATTTTACAAAATTCTCTGGGTTATGTCACAGGGAGCATCACCATCGTTATTTCCGGTTGGGATCACGCAACGCTTCCTGTCACGACACAGTTAATGATGATTAGTGCTGACCGTCACTGAAGCATCCGTTATATTTATTCTATGGGAAAGATGCGTTTTCCCTTCTCCAGAACGCTAGTTTTTTACTGTATTCCCACAGTTTGTTATACATCAAAACCGTAAAGCGTATCTTCAAGCATCATTGAATTACAGAACACTGTGCATCAATACCGATGCTAACTATGCGAATAATCACGATAAAAGGAAAGACTGATTTTTTTCAAATGCTATTTATATGTTCTTTGATCTTATAAATTAATTTTAATATGACAAAAAATAAACAATTTATATTCTTTTAATTAACATATAAGCGTAAAAATGTACAGGTATTATACACATATAGTACCATTTCAGGGCGCAGAGCAGTATTTCAAAGGTAGCCTTAAATTTTTCTCTTAAAATATTTATTGTTAGTAAAGTAATAATTTTTTTATGTGTTTTTAAAGTAATATTTTTTTATAATTTGTATTATTAAATACAGTACTCATAGTAATACCTTTTATTTATGATTTAAAATTATGCATTAATATCGGTATGAATTGCTATGCGATTGTGATAAATCTTCTAATATTATAATCTTATTTGCAAATAAAAAAAATACTTCAATATAGAATAGAATATTTTGTAGAATCATATTAATCTTGCTGTTTATAACTTATAATCAAAATCATAATGTAATATACACATGCACAGAAAAAGAGAATAAATTTTACCTGATCAATTACAACTCTTTTTTAAAAAACTTCCTCTTTTAAAAGAATTATAAATATAACTTTTATTAAAATTGCTCCGTTATATAAAGGAAAACAAATGGTGTAATATAAATTGCCCAAACGTAACAACATACGCTAATACGCGTCTGAAACATCAATAATATTACTTGCGAACGGGTTCATAATGGATGAATCTACATAGAACCGTTGATAGCTTCTTAAAATTTATCTC